AGTGAGAATGGCTCTTGAAAAGTCTAGTACTAGGCAAGAGAGTAAAATAAGTTTTAAACTGGGCACACAATGCATGTTCTCTTGGGGTTTTTTCTTATTCACTTTTAATTCTGGGTTTATGAAGGCAGAAATACTATAAATTAACATTAACATTCCACTTGGTTTTTGTCTTTGCCTTTTTGCGATGTGTTCAGACAACTTTTCCTAGGAGATATGTTTGAGCTAATGCAGCGTGGGGCTTTTGTCTTTTCAAACAGGAAATAGAACAGTTGAAACAATTTGGTAACATCACTAAGTACCTTGTATGTGTTCCACAGCTAGTTTGTATGTCATAGACGACTGGTAGCTCGTTAATGCTTTTTATTGTGTATCAGGGATACCTGGGAGCCAGATAGTGTCAAGACTCTTGGAGGAAAAGTGATACCCACATAGAGAATTAGTTCTTTTGTTGCTAGTTGTGGCACTGCAGCGTTGTGCTGTAGTGTAGCTCTTGGCCTGAGAGAAATTCACTTGTTGACTGCCTCAGCAAGCAACAGGAGAAGTAAAACATCCCTTGATTTTAAAACAGCCAAGCCCGTACACCTCAGTAACAGAACAAAAGGTAAAATTATGCTGTTTCATTTGAATAGTCAATTAATCATCAGTTTTATTCTGAAACATGGTTGTGAAATGACTCTCCATTCAGTATTCAAGCAGTTGTCTCCTACACTGATCTCTGAGTACTGATGATAACGTGTGCAGGAGGCTGAGGGCTGGAAAAACCAGCGTGTCAGCCCCGGCTCTGAGCAGCAGGTTTGAAGGCTGCAGAGGCTGGTTGCAGCAAACACGGAAGCTGCTGTGTGAGAACCAAATCTTCCAACCCTTCATACTTCTCATGAAACAGCCAACCCCAGGAAGGAGCCCCAGCCTGGTCACCTTCCATTTTCTGTTGTTTCTGCAGTATGTTAGTCGTTGAAAGGCTGCTCTCTAGGATCAAGCCTCCCAAAAGTGAGACTTGCCACATGGAGGACTGCTCACGAATGCTAATTGTTAATAATAAGCAATTAGTCTATTAAATGCTAAGCAAATGCAGGTTTCAGGCTCTGAAATGGCTGTGGGAAATCAATGTAGGTAAATGCAAAGTGAGACACGTGGAGGAAAGAACAACACTAGCTCTCCAGAAAACTGATGGGCTCTGAGCCAAGTGTTGCTATTTAGGAATAGGATTTTGGGGATATAATAGTTGCATTAAAGTGTCAGCTCAGCAGTGATCAAAACAGCAAATGGAGTTGGGGGGAGAATGGAGAACAATGCAGCAAAGAATGAGAGGTCCCTAAATCCATGTAAATCTGGTTCCCAGCACTTCAAAATGCTGGGATAGCACTGGAGAGAGTTCAGAAAGGGGCACCTGGGATGATCCAAGCTACTACAGAGTGGTTTCCCTGTGAAGGGTGATTAAGATGTAAGCTATGCTTCCTCAACTGTAGAAAGAGATGACTGTTGAGGGAGTAGGGTAGCAGTACAGCAGGCAATGTGAAGAATGGGGATCAGTTGGTCCCCTTTGCAAGGTGGGCAGCTTCAGGGGAAGCTGAGGGGTGGCAGGTCAGAGTGAGCAACAGGAAATGGTGCCTCATGCAAGGTGAGGCCATGCCCTTCAGCTCCTCACTGTTGAATGGTGGCACATAGAGATGTTCAGGGAGTGAATGGGAAGTTACTGGGAAGTAAGTGTTTTGATAGCTTCTAATCACCAGGACCTTAGTTTTGATTTAGGAAGGCTCAGCTGCAGGCTGTTGAAGGGTTTTAAGGAAGTATCTGTATATGCTTGCTCTGTTTGTGGTTTTTTTTTCACCCCCTAAGCTTCTGCTTTTGGGTGCTCTGAGGGACTGGGTACTAAGCAAGCTAGTCTTACCCAGTATAGCAATTTTAACCCACTGACTGAGTAGGATGCACAGAACTAGGACCTTAGAGGATATTGATTTATGCTATTGTGAATTCTTAATTTCAGGCCTTTTCTTACAGGCTTCTAAATTTTAAAAAGTAGCTTCTGATGTTTGGGTTCTTTGGCCAAACAGCCCAAGGATGCAGCAGGCAGCACATGTCACCTTGATGTGTAAGAGAGACTCAAGCTGAGTATTGCAGCAAAGCTGGGCTTGGGTAAGTTGTGGTTTACACAGATGATTACAGAAGACTTATGAGCAGGACTTCCCAAGGCATAGCAGCTGACAGAAACCTAATTTAAAAGTAAGTTGTCCTTGGGTTGCTCTGTATTAATTAACTTTTCTCTCTCAGTTAATTTCATCTGAGCAGTCTTATCTCGGATAGTTCACTTGTCCCTCAGGCACTAAATGATGTCTACCTTATTTTATGAGCTACCTTTTCAGAGACACTGCTCAGTTTTGCAGCCACCATAATGAAACTAATCCTTCATCACCCTTTCCCCTAGTGGCTTGCTGGGAATTTTGTGCCTAATTCCTTTTACCAGACTGATGTGCAGAAGCATCCAATCGCTTTTTTGTACCAATATTCTTGGCTTTGCAAAATCCATGTTAAAATACGTGGTCATGGTGCACTTTGACTGGAGCCTGTAATAAATACATGAGAGAGAGCCTGCAGAGCAGCACACCATGCTGTGTGGCATATAAAACTATCAAGAAGTGCCCCTTTGGAGATCTTCTATGGGCATTGTGCAACAGTATTTGCAGCAGCTACCTTGCTCCACTGCACAAAAAGAGCTGGGTGGTCATATCTTCTCACTTCAGGCTCCTGTGGTGGCAGGAGAGACTGTCTCATGGGTAATAATGCAGGTGGTAACTCAAAAATGCAAGTTAGGGCTAGGCTCTCATTTAAATGCTCTAGATTACTCTTTAAAGGAGCCATGTCCACTCATTACATGAGGAGCCTTGAGAGACAGGGCTCCTAATATGGACATCTCAGGCAGACAGTAGGAGTCCTCTCCTTTGTGAACCTCTTAACAAAGGGCATCTTGCTTTCTGCTAAAAAAGATCAAAAATAGTCAGCCTCCCTTTCCCACAGTGGCCCCAGCACTGAAGTTCAGAGAGAAGGGAGAGCATTTTCCATCCACAAATGGGTAGCACTCCCAATCAGAGAGCAGAGCAGCAGTTCAGCCTGCCAGGTACCCAGAAGCAGCTGGGGTTTGATGATTCAGAGGAGTGTAAAATCTCTTCTTGGTCATCCTGTTGTTGTCTCCTCAGCTCTGGTTTTCCTTTTAGGACTGTTGGGAAAGATGAGATCTCTTATTCTAGTACAAATGCTGCCATGACACAAACCATATGCTGCTATGATTGTCCAGGGCTCAGAGGTGTGATCCTGCTGTAGTTCCTTCACCTCTGCAGACAACCATCTATTTGTACAGTTGCAGTGTATAACTCTGTTATCTTACACTTCAATGAGCATACATTTGGTTTAATAAAGAGTCATCTTGCATGGCTGGGTGGAGTTAAATCCAACTGGTGGCAGATCACAAGCAGTGTTCCCCAGGGCTCAGTCTTGGAGCCAGTTCTGTTTAATATCTTTATCAATGATATGGACAAGAAGATCAAGTGCACCCTCAGTAAATTTGCTGCTCTCTACAGCTGCCTCTGAGGTTGTAGAGAGGTGGGTGCCTGTCTCTTCTCCCAGGTAAGAAGTGACAGGATGAGCAGGAATTGGTGCAAGTTGTGCCAGGGGAGGTTTATGTTGGATATTAGGAAACACTTCTTGACTGAAAGAGTTGTCAACGTTGTGCAGGCAAGGGGTTGAGACACCAGCCCTAGAGGTATTTAAAAGGCATACAGATGTGGCACCTAGGGAATTGGTTTAGTGATGGACTTGGCAGTGTTAAAGTAAGGGTTGGGCTTGATAATCTTTAGGGTCTTTTCAAACCTACATGATTCTATAATACAGTTTGTAAAAGAGAGTGTTCAGATTCTACCATCTGTAATTTTTTGAGTTTTCCCTTTGCCAATCTAAAACATCCTGGCTTTTTTAGTCTTGTGGACTTGACAGAAAAACCTTTATGCAAGCACTTTACAAAAGCAAGCACTTAAAACTGAACATTTCCTGCCCTGTAGAGCCTGGCTCTGTCTCTTGGGTTGTCTGTGTAGGCAACATGGCACAGCCTTATATATCCATGGTTAAAAAATGAGACTCATCCCCACTTGCACTGTGCTTTGAGCCATGGCTTCTAGAAGAGTAGGGAGGTATCATTGTCAGCCTGTTGCTTGAAGGTGGTTGCTGTTGATGGAGCTGAACTTCAGCAGGGTGTTTGGTAGGACAGTGTGTACAGATGGTTATGAAGCCTCTCCACCCAGCTCCAACAACCCCACTCCTTTCTCTGGCTTCTGCTGTCCTCCAACACAACTCTGAGCTGTTCTGGAAAACCTCACCAGTGTATTCCATACTGTCAGAATTCATTTGAAGGACATCTGGGTTGAGAAGGAAAGTCAATCCCCAATCTGTGTTTAAAACAAAAAAATCTTTGAGAGGCCATGCAACTTAATCTAACATGAAGATGGAACTGTCTACCCAAAAATGGGTTTCCCCACAGCTATACTAGCTGGCCTAGTAAAGGGAACTGCTTACATTTATAAGCTTGTCTCAGTAGATTAACTACTGTATTCTTGATGTAATACTTCTTCAATATTGGTTGTTTTTAATAGCAGGTATCTGTTGATACCTAGAAACTGAAAGCTTTTTCAGTAGGATTTTATTAATCTAATTCAGCTGAAATAGAATTAGGTGGAATTAGGGCAGATTTTAGTAATTCGGGGCTTTTTGCTACATTTTGGCAATTAACAGGAAAAGCAAGAGTTCTTTTTAACTTGTTTCTTTACACATATCTAAATATGTTTTCAGATTGTTTCTAAAAATCAGTCCACCAGTCATGAAATAGTAACTGAAAAGAAACCCTTCAGTGTGTTTTTGTTTTCTTCTTAACACTAATTTTGATCTTTCACATGCCTTACTCATGTTCCTTTTCCCCCCTGTATTTTTTTACAGTTTACCAGGAGTGAGAAAAGACAATGGATCCAGACTTTTTGAATGTGTTCACACAGCCTGATTCACCTAATCAGTTCCTAGCTGAGAATGTCATCACTCCAGGTATGTACTTCATGAACCAGGACAGAACAGGTCCAAAAAATCACCTGAAGAAGGAAGCAGAGAATGTGCAGTACAAATTAATAGCATATTTTTTGGCAGTGGTCCCATGTTTGTATGAACAGTGAGTAAGCTCTGTATGTGTAATTTGGCTGCAGACTCTCTGGAGTCAGATCATGAAGAAGCAACACAAATTCATGCTGATTCTTTAACTGAAATATAAATTTCACACATAAGCATCTGACCAAGCTTGTTTTCTTCTTCCAGAATTGTCCATCAAGATCTTATTGATTTGAATTACATTGAAGCATAATGTCCAATAACAGTCTTAATAGCCTGATATACCATTTTCTTGCTCTTATCAGTTAAAATAAGAAATGAGAGTTTCTACATAGGACAATAAGTGATACTGGGTAATATTAAAGTGATAGGAAATTCTACAGCAAAATTGCATTAGTCATATCTGATGATTGTAATGGAGCTTATTTTCTGCTTTTCATAGGTGAGAAGAAGAAATTCATAAAACCAACCTCAAGAAACAATTCCAAACTGGAAGAATTGAAACTGGTACCATTTCTTTTGCTGTATTTTTAAACTTTCACCTCAAATTGTTTTAACCTGTAAATTATCCCACTCTGTGGCCCCAGTCCCCTGTTCTCTGCATACGGGGACAAGTTCTGCTTTAGGCACTGGAGCTCCACACAAGCAAACCAGAGCTTTTGCTTAAGCACAGTTTGCTGAGACTAAGGAGAGGTGTTTGGATGCATGCAGGCTTGCTGCCCTGATCCCAGGATAACAAGTTTTAGGATTGCTGGGTTGATTTGCAACAAGTCTTCTGTCTTGTCTTCTTCCTCCAGTGGCAGCTGGCTCGGCTGTGATGCAGCCTGGTGAGGACAGCATAGAGCAGAGGGAGAAGGGATGGAGGGAGTGCAGGTCACCAAGAATTCAGGAGAAAAGGTTTCAGGTTGTTGTATGGCACATTGTCTGCTTGAGGTAACTGTGAAGGATGAATCCTATTTCATGGGAAAGTACTTTAGTTCCAAATAATTTTGGTAATCTCCCCTGTGTATTCAATCACCGTGTTTCTCTAATGCCACAGCCCAGTGGAAGACTAGCATCCAAAAATTTCCAGGAAGAAAAGTGGCTGGTTTCTTATGAAACCAGCACTTCTTGCATAATGGAGATACTAAAATTGTTATAAATATCATGAAAACCAGCTTAGGCTATGTACTGATATGTGTATTATACAGCATTCATAAATAGGTGTATTCCTGTATTATGTTTTCTTAAACCTTTGTGTGTATTTAATCACAGAGATTTAATTTTTGTGTCAGGCTTTCACAATGTTTTTATCCAAAGAAGAAAATCTGAAAGGTGGTGCTGCAAAATGCAATTATGCTGTCTGCAGAGACACTGAATTTGTTCTTTCCAGACTGCCAAAAATGAAGAGCTTTCTTCAGTTTAAGATTTCTGTGAACTTCAGTGTTTAATCCATTTCCTGTAAAGACTCCTGAAACAATGTTCTCCACTGTCTGATTTCTTCCCTGTGGATGATGAGGAGGTGAAAATTTGGTCCTAAGGGAGTCAGTCCTCTGGGTGCCCATTGATGCCATTGATTGCTTTCTTTAATGAGTTCATGGCTCCTCTGGAGAAAAGATTGGGATGGAGGAAGGGACAGGGAGGTGTCTTCAGGGGAAGAATAAAAGAAGCAAAGAAACCCACTTGGGAGGAAGACTCTGCTTTATTGCATTTTAATTTTGAGGTGGCTTTGGGGTGCTAAGGAATGTGAGGTGGCTCACTGTAATTTAAATAGCAAGCTGCATGTAAACTACAAGGTGGTTACATTTGAAAGCCAGTAGCAAACTTTTTGAAGTCCTCCTTTTCTCCTTCCCCTGTGTACTCATTTTTAGCCACAACGCTCATCTCTGGCTGAGTGGGGCCCCTCACATCATGCATCACCAGCTCTTAACCTACAAGCATTAGCTGAGAAGCACAGCTTTCTAGAAAATTCTTTTCACTTCTTGGCTGAGGAAGTATATTACAAACACTTTGACAACTTCTCAGTTCAGGCAAGTGCTGGCATGAAGCATTTTTCTTTCTCCTGTGCTTTCAAGCATTTCAGGGTTGTTTTGGGTTTTTTTTCAAACTGCATTTTACATTTTTGTTAGTGTTGGCCAACTTACAAGGGTCTGCTAGGAATTTTCTCCTCTGTTTACAGTGAGTGAGGAGGATATTAGCCACACAACAATCACTTATAGCAATAATAACAGTATAAGCAATACCCATCTGTTTTTTGAGAGGTTCTTGTTACCAGCCAGCTGGGGCTTCTGCTTCTCAGCTCTGCTTCAGCAGGTCCTCTTTCCTTCCTACTGATGTATGTGGAGAAACCACGTGCTTTGGGAAGTGCTGAGGAGCTCCTTTCATCTCCTGTGTAGGAGCATGGTGCTCAAGGAAGGGTCTGCAAGACCAGGGGATGTACCTGGGAATGTGATTCCTTTTCAGTAGTAGCCAGTCCTTGTTTCCTTTCATCTCCTGTGTAGGAGCATGGTGCTCAAGGAAGGGTCTGCAAGACCAGGGGATGTACCTGGGAATGTGATTCCAGTAGTGGCCAGTCCTTGGCTTCCCTTTGTAAATGCAGGAGGGATACTGGAAAGAGCAAAGACTGCCACCTAAAAAAGCAAGATTTTAAAATGCTGCTTTTTTTTTTCCCCCCAAGAAGGCTTTTGGTGACAGAATAGTACAAAATTGTAGAAAGAAAAAGAACAAAATAGGAGAGGAAAGGGAGGAGTGCTAGTAACATGGAGGACTACAAGAAACAACCAACAGAGTGAGTGAAGCCTCTTTTCTTACAGACTTTTGTCTGACGTTTGAGTTTGTGTGAATTCTGTGATGTCTAATGAAGGCAGGGTTGTGAAGTGTTCTCTGCACACTTTTCCCTCATCAAAGTGGGACTAGCATCTGTCTCTCCACCTGTATAACTATTTCTACAAAATTCATAGGAATACAACTAATGAGACCTCTATCCCACTTGAAAATTAGGGAGAACTAACTGATATTTAACTTCCCTTGAAAAAATAACCAAAAAGCACAAAGGAGGAAGAGGTTGAAAGCAAAACAAGATGTGAGATAGGGACTAAAGAGAAGGGTGAAACACAATGTGATACTGAGTGCTATACTGCCTAAACTACAAGAATATAATTGCCAGCTGCTTTGTCTTCCTCCACAGTTATTGATTGACTGGATTAACACAACTCTGAAAGAGGAGCACATAGTAGTTAGAAGTCTGGAGGAAGATCTGTACGATGGGCTAGTACTTCATCATCTTTTGGGTAAGTTGCTGCTTTAAGTTTAGCTCACAAACATGGCACAGAGGAACCTCCAGACCAGAGACTGTATCTCACAAATTGCCATAGCCCTGATCTGCTGGAGATCTCTTCTGACTGACAGGGAATGAACATCTGTGATCTCTGTGGTTCTGAACAGATGCCTGGAGATCCACTGTTGGGTTTATATCACTTTTTTCCTTCTAAGAAATTCTTTTTATCTGCTAATTAACATAAAAAGGTGACCTGTGAGGCTACCAGAAACATTGAATGGAATCAGAACTTTAATTGTATGTTTTCCTAGCTTTTTTTTTTTGAAAAAAGAGAGGGGTTCTAGGTCTATAGCACTGAGCTGGAACTGGAACTGATGAAAATCAAAGAGGTTCTCTACACTACCAGATGCTTTTACAAAGATGTGGCCTGTTGGTCGTTTTCCATTTCTCCATCTCTCCTGTCCCTGCTTCATTTTTCTTTTCCTTTTCACTCTCTTTAGGGATGTCTTTCAAGTCATATCTCCTTTTCACCAAGGCTGAGGGCAGCAGTGTGGACAGGATTAGCTTTTTTTTTCATAGCTTACTTGCCTGAGCAATGAGCTGAGATTTCTTCTGTATATGTGAGCTGATACTGCCTTTGTACACTACCTACAGGCAAGATTCACTTGTATCTGCATCTTCTGATTCAGATTCTGTAGCTTCTACTGGAGGAACATGGATTGCTAGGGTAAGGGGATGCTGCTGGGAGGAATGACTTGAGTCCTCTCCCTTTTGCAGAGCTTCACTGATTTTACTGAGGCTTTCCAAGAGTGCAGGAGTTTAACAAGCTGTGGGATGTGGGACTGTGGAAGCTCTTAAGGGCTTATATCAAACCTTTAAAACAAGACTTTGTGCACTTTGCTGTCATTTTATGTTTCTGATTTATTTTTTTCCTATGGTGATGTTAAATCCTCCTTCCTGTGGGCTCTCTGTCAAAGAACAACTCGGGTCTCTCAAGCTGGATGTTGACAAGATTGCATTAACAGAAAAAAAACAGCGACAGAAGCTGGCTGTGATTCTGGAAGCTGTGACCAAGTGTTTGCAACTGGAAGAAACTCAACTGAAATGGAGCGTGGAATGTAGGTGCAGAAGTGAAATTGGGGAAAATTATACATCGTGGGGCTTCCTCTGCTCTAAGGCTGCTGTGAGCCAGAGGGGTGCTAACTGTAATTAAACAACCTATTTTCAATTGCTAATTGAATCAGAAGTGAAGCAAGAATTTCTGACCCTGACTGGGTGATGCAAGCTGCATTGTCTAACTCTGTGGCATGTGGACTGCTTAACAGCCCTCAGTGTCCATGCCTATGTCTCACAAAAAGGACTTTGAAGGTGTGGTATTGCTGAATTGTGATGTTATAGAATCCCCAGTGTGATGTCCCACCTGTGCTATGGCCTCCATGACTTTGGGATTCTCTGCACAGGGAGAATTTGTGATATTAGAGTGAGGTTTATTTGTTTTGCACACTAAACATTGTTTTCTTCCTTTACATGGGACAGCTATCTTGACAAAGGACTTACTGAGCACACTGCATCTTCTGGTTGCAATAGCAAAGCACTTTGAACCCAACCTGCCCATGCCTTCAAATGTTCAAGTGGAAACAATCACCATTGAGGTAATTATAGCTTCAATATTTGTTACAGCAGAACCTAGACACCTTTCACAAGACTTACTTTGCTTAGATTTATGGAGAAATGTGAAAGAGATTTGTCTTTTGTGTGAATGATGCCTTTTCATTTCAGAATTTGCTGAACTAGATTAGCACTTTGTTTTCTGTTCAGATGCTGTATCTTTAAAAGTGTAGAACTGCAAAAATTAGCATCACTGAGTTACAGTTTCAACAGGGGGTTTGGAATTCAGTGGTGCTGGGAACCCAGCACAGTCTGTATGGCATGACCTAGAACTCTCCCCTCTTCAGATGCTCATAACTGGAGCTGAAATGAAGCATTGCCCTCGAGCTACATGTGGCACTTTAGGAGATTTAAGTGTCCTGGAGGGACAACTTCTTCTGGGGTTTGGTTCTGCAAAGGTAGCCCTTGTGGCCTCATCCCAGCTAAGTACTTCATAGAATCATAGAATGTCTGGGCTGGAAGGGACCTCCAAAGATCATCTAGTCCAACCCCCCACCATAAGCAGGGACATTCCTTCAGCTGAGGAATGGTCTCTCTGGTCCCAAACTGACCCACACTCCTGTCTTGTGGGTCTGATCAGTGACAACCCAGACTCTGAGGAAAGCAGCCCTCCATCTAGTGCCTTATGGGGCTGCAAGTGCCTCAGCTGCATAGAAATTGGGAAGGATTATCTGAAACCACAGCACTGGGAAGGGCTGCTAACCCTGAGAGAGAGGAGTGGTGATGGAAGTGATGGGGTTGTACCAGTGAGCTGATTCCCTGTAGAAGTCAATGCCCCTGATGGAAAAAGTCATCCTGAGGTAAAAAGTGAGGAAAGCCCATTGAAGGCACAGCTCAGAAGAGGGGTTGAGGGCAGGAAGGGGGAGATGTTGAGGAAGCCCAAAGGAGACCAGAGAAGGCCTGACCTTTCTGTGACACAGGGCCTGCAGGAAGGACCTGCCCTTGTCCCAGCAGGGCTGGGGGTGCTCCTGTTGAGCAGCGAGCTGACCCAAAGGAGTTGGTTCAGGATGTAGACAGGGGGTGGCTTTCATTGTCTAAAAGGGGAGAACAGCAAACACCAAAGAGTTTTCTGTCCTAAAAGATGTTTGCCAGGCACCTGAATAAAGCAGGAGGCATTGCACACCCTCTCCTATCTCTTCAGACTGTCAGTTGGGTTGAACCACTGGTTATTTTATGTTTTGTGCAGTCCTAAAGTTTATATAGAGGAACAAAGATGCAAAAACATAAGTAAAGATCCCAGGTGGCTTCAGAAAGAATAAGAATTGCCAACCTGAATCTAAGCAATGCACCAAGCTCAGTCCTCTGCAGGGGAGATTCATCCATGGGTGGCAGGCCATGGTGTGAGGTTATTATAAGGCAGAGGTGACCACCTCCAGTGCTGTAAAACTGAAGAGTCCTTAATACAATGAGGTGTGCAATCATTGCCTGCCCAGAGCAGCTTCATCCAGTCATCAGATCTCCAGGTGAACATACCTGCCTCTGAACTCCAGCTGAAAGACCATGTGCTTCTCCTCTGGCTTCCTCTCAAAGTGCCTCTACTGATTGTGCTGGACTTCTTGAATAAAATTCCCTCTGGTGATCAGGAAACAGGTCATTGAATCCTCATTAATATTTAACAATTTTTTTTTTTTGTGTAACCAACCTAGAAATATTTATTGTCTTTTCCACAGAACACCTCCAGAGGATTAAAGACAGCAAATGCAGTGGAATATCTCACAGAAAACAAGTAAGAGGGGTTATATCTGGTTTTCACACTGTCAATCAGAGCAGAAATATTGTGGGTGTTTCCTCCATAGAAAAAAATAGCTCTGATGATGACAAAAAGCATAAACCTAGGCATGTGTGTGCATGCAAAAAGGATTCCTTTCCTTTTATCCTTCCCCTTTGGATTCAATGTGATGGTATAGTACCCTGCTTTACTCTTTATGTACATTTCTCTAAAATGATGTATAGGACTATTTCAGAGGCTGAGTGCTTGTCATCACCATGAAATATAATAACAAATGTAATAAAAATTGAGTGCTGTGAGTTTACCTGTCCCAGATTAAACTGGAAATTTTCTAAAGCCACAGTGATTTAAATCTACTTTTAATTTATTCCCATTTTGTTATCAAATAAAGAGAAAAGAGCCCCTTCTTTTCTTATTTCACTGTGAAAGAAAGGTTTGAGCTTGCTGAGTTTGTGAGGTACTGTCATTAAAGGAGTTAAATAATAGGATACCATTTATATACTGAGAAAATGTGGGCATCATTCCATGAACTAGAAATGGATTTTCCTACTATCATCTTTTATATGCTAGAAATATCTTGAGCAGCTTATTGGGAGAAGATGTTATGGATTGGCTTATAAAATAAATGTTCATTGATCTGTGGACCAGTTAAAATCTCATATACCACCAAAAGCCTATACACATATAAAATGTACTTAAAAATCACTGTCAGAAGGTTACTGTGACAATACAGTTAATGGTGCTTTGTGCTGTCTCCTGCTCTGCAAGAGAGCTGGTGGCCCAGATAAGCTTTGCTTATGAATAAGATTAGTTCTGCCAAATGCTTTCCCTAATTCTTGCTTTTTATTGCACTTTTAGAGAGAATTTAGAAGCGCAGTCAAGTAAGTACTGGCATTGCCAAGTTTAGTGTTTTGCTATTATGTGCTATTATACACCACGTTCTGATCTGTTTTTATCTCATGATAAAATCAGTTTGCTCCCACTAGAGTTAATTGAAATTCATGGATTTCTCCTAGTATTTTTCTCCAAATGTCTTCTGTTAATGTGTATTGGTATTAACACAACATAGTTTGAAAGCTGGGTGGTCACTTTGCCCATGAACTGCAGGCAACAGATGGGAGGTGAGACAAGAAATTAAACAGTGGGTTGATGATCCAGCTCAGACTTGGCTGAGGACAAATATGCCTTGGATTTATGCATTTACCTCATTCAATGTTGGAACTATTTATGAGCATAATTGGCTTGAAAATTGTGCTTCTTGTCGCTACCAGTTTCAATGTAGTTCCCTTTCTGCAGTTTGCAAGTGAGATTTTGAAATCTGTTGGTGTTGGATTATGGATGGTCATTCAGTAAAACCAGTGTCCCCAGAGGTTTTACCATTATGGCTTTTGAGGGCTGTAAAACACTTGAGGTGAAAAGATGTCCATGTGCATAGAGCCTGCAGAAGGTCTGGGCACTGCTCAGGCTTCAGCATGAGCTGCTCTTGCCGGCTGCAGAGGAACAGTTGGCATCCTTATGAATCAAGGCAACTGTTTAAATTCTCTGCCATGCCCTTTATTTTAGCATTTTCATCCTTTGCAGAGGTGCAAAATGCATCATTTAATACGTGTTTATCAGTTATTCTACTGAGTGGTCTCTAGTGTAGGCTGAAATGGTGGGGAAAAAAAAAACACCTTGTAATTAGGTGTTTCTTCCAGTGGGCTGATTTTGCTGGGGAGAGAAATCTGCAATTCACTTCTCAAAATGCTCTCTCTCTGGTTTTGACATAGCTTGCTTACCAGAGAGTGAAAGCTCATGGTGTTGCTCCAGAAGAGGGCTCTCTGGTTTGCAAGACTGTTGCCAGTTTCAGGCTGTTGCTCAGTGATTTGTTTGATGGATTCACCTATTCCCTGACACTGCTCCTGCAGCAACCCCCAAACAAGGAGAACAGAGAAACCCAAGGAAACTCTTTCACAGTGGAGGTGTCTCTGTCGCTGGGTTTTGGGAGGAATCTTCCTTAAACAAAGCTGCCTTTGCTTTCCTGCACCACAGAAACTGCTTCTGCATTTAGTTATGCTGCCCTTGATTTTTAAGGATGTTTCAAATGCTTTGTTCATCCTTGAACCAGAGCAATCTTGTGGCTGGGTTGCTGTGAAGAGATATATCCTGCTCTCACTAAACCTGGGCTGAAAGTGGAGGTGAGGGTGGGCATTCACAGGGGCTTTGGTGACTCTTATTTCCTTGGGAATCTTTAAACTCCTGCTTGTCCTCTGGCACAGTCCTGCTGACACCGACTCGGTGCCTGCCTTTAAACTGGGCAGCACCACTGGTCGTTTTTGAGGTCCAAGAATTTTCAGAGGAATGGTGGTGTCTCCAAACCCAATATCTAGTTTGTGGGTTTTTTGGAAGGAAAGGGGCCATTTTTCTGCAAGTGTGATGTAACTGACATTTCTGTTGAGGGAGAGCACTACAGTGTACAGCTGCTCTTCTCCATTCACAGCAATTTATCCCAGAGGTTCAGGGTTAAAAAGCCTAGCTGAAAAGAGGGAAACTGGAGAGATGTGAAACTTTGCCATTGCTCACGTTGGTGGCAGCACAAATCTCCAGTTCCTCTGAAGCTGAAAATTGCAAAGCTGAGTGAAGTGAATTGTTTTCTCTGATCCAGTTAGGCTGGAGGGAAGCCTGTCACCCTATCCTCTGATAAATACCAAAGCAGGATTTTTTTCTCATCTCCCCGTGACTCTTTTCCTCCTTGGCTTATAAGATGTGAACACCTTTCCCCTTCTAGAGATACTTTAAACCTCTGATCTGACATTTATTCCAAATAATACCAATTAATGTTGTTTTGGTACAGAAGATGATGCCTTTGATGAATTATTTAGCCGTGCTCCAGATAAACTGGATGCTGTTAAAAAGGTAATTTACTTTTCCAATAGAAATCAATATTTGTAAGGTAAGCCAATTAGGACTTCACTGCAAACAGTTATCTTTTCTTCCACCTTCCCCTCCCCTTCTGTTTTCTTTAGGTATTTTTGCAATTTGTCAACCAGCATGTTGGAAAACTAGGATTAAATGTGAAAGACATCGAATCTCAGGTAGCTTGCTCTAAGCTGCATGTTAACCATATGTTGTCAGCCATTTGACTGTTTCCTCTTGCTGTTAGGATTCCTCTTTTTTTGTTGTAGTAATTTGAAACTTGGCAACATAATTATTTCTAGCTCCAGGTTAAGATATCAGGCTTCAGTCTCTGAAGTTTCTGAAGCTAGGAAGTAATGGAAAAAAAATACAGTTTTATACTGAATGCTGTCCTTGTAATGCTACAGGGAGTAATTTTCAGAGTCTGCCCAACTCCTGTGGATGGATGCTCTTTCTGTTGGGATGGAAGTAAAGGTGTTCCAACAATTAAACTGAAAGCCAAGTCTGTTGCTGGTACTTAGTGATTTTTAATGCTGGATTTGCTGCACAGTAGTAAGGACTGATTTTCAATAAATTTCAAAAGCCCCAAAGTCCTCTGAATGCTGAGCTCCTTAGGAGCCCATAAGACTGCAAGAGAAGTGCTGGTCAGGCACCTCAGGATCACCTCCCAGGTGCTGGTGGAAGAGAGGCACCACCACACCTCCCCTGGCCTTCAGAGAGTGGGCATGGCCCCTGGCTCACGTGGAGCAGGAGAGCTGCAGCATCCTCCCCGTGCTCCCCTGGGGAGTGAGCGAGCAGTGGGAAATAAGCTCAGGGACCTCCCTTGTGGCTTTTTAATTCCTTACTTCTGCAGAGAAGCTCACAGAAGCGAGCCCACAGCTCTTGCTTTGCTCCAGGCATTCAGAGCCTCGGTGCAGTGGCAGTCCCTGTGATTTATGTTGTGTGGATGAAAAGTGGAGCTGTGCTCCCTTGCTCTTCTGGCTTTTCCTGGTGGACAACTGTGAGAAAGTTTGGCAAGTGTTTTGTCCTAAGTCTCAGGCACTAGGCACAGCTCTCTTCTGTTTATAGTTAGGTGTTTGTTGCTTGTGGTTGTCTGAAGTCTCTTCACATCTGGAATAGGTTGTTTTAATAGCTGTCCTTTTACAAGGTTGTATTTTCACTAATATGAACTTGGGAGCTTTAAGCAGCTAAATACTAAGTTCACTGTAACAGAGTTTTAGGCAGCTGAGTCATTAGGCTGCTTGCCACTGTACCATTTAAATTCCTTTCTTACTAGAATGGCATTTATTTGAGTTATTTACTAAAAGCCAGCATAATAAATAATACTCAGATAATTCTTCATCTAGTTTGCAGATGGAGTTATCTTACTTCTGTTAATTGGACAACTGGAGGGTTACTTTCTGAATTTAAGGGACTTCTTCCTGACTCCAGCCAGCACCACGGAGATGGTAGGTTGTTGCTTAATTACCTAGAGCTCGAGGCTTCAAACATCTTGTGTAGTTAATTCTTCCACATGTCAGTGAACAGCTCTGCCTCTGGCTTTAGCTGTATGACTTTATGAAGTCATACACGTGCACAGTGTTTGCAGGACAGTGATTTGGGACAGTACAAAAGCAGGCACTCGATGCCATTAAAATACCCTGCAACAAGTGGATGTCTTCTTCAAAATCTGTTATCATCTCATGGGAAGCAAGCTATTACTACTTGTATTTATTTGGCAGATACTTCTAAAGCCTTCCAATGAAACACAGAGGCTCTGTGTGCTGGGGAGCTGGTGTGTTATCTCCTACAAGTCTGTCCTGCAAACAACATTTTTAAGTGGATGACACCTCTTGCATAGCAGAACTGAATCCCTATAGGTTTCCTTATGCTGTCCTAAAAATACACCTTAATCAAGACATACCCAGAACATTCTGAAGGCCTCCTCTGTGCTTAGGAAGCTCTTGAGAATTTACATCTTTTCCTCACAGAAGTCTGGGAGCTGTAACCTACGCAGCCAGGCTTGCCTGACTCCTTTTTCAACCTCTACCAGACAGATTTCATCAGTGCTTTAAAAGGAAAAGGTGGCATCAGCCAGAAGGTAGCATGTGCTGGGCTGCTGGTGTAAATGCCTCCTCCACAGATCTAGGATCTTGGACTGTTTTGAAGTACTTGAGATATTTTCAAATTGTCTCTGCTGGGGTTTTTCATTAGGGTCACTGAATAGCTCTGAAAATCTTGAAAGAGTAGCTATTTTTTGTGGGTAATATTCAGTTAGATCTCTGAAGGGGAAACGTGTCAGATCCTTTTTGCTTGGTTTGCATTACAGCTTCCCCACACAGATGAAGCTTTCCTCTGATTCCTGACTAAACCGTAGTGAATCCCCCTGGGCAATATTTATTTGTGATGAAAATTCTCAGAGTTCCAGTATTAATTAATAAATATTCCTGTGGAGCTTTTCATCAAAACGTATGAAAGCACAATTGGCTGAGACCTAGGCTCAAATTTTGTCAAAAATTCATTGCTGTCAGCTGATGACTGCTTAAGGCACTAGGAAAATTCAGGGTTTTTTTAAAATCTAAGAATGGGTAAAATACAATTTTGAGTGATTCAATCAAACAAAATCAAAGTATTTCCTTGCAGTTGTTTTTTTTCACTTTCTCCTCCTCTACTAATTTTTCAAAATTGTTTGCCCCTTTCCATTGATGTGGAAATAAATTTTTAACTTCTCCCTCAACTTTATTCAGAGGAAGTCAATGATCATTTTTTTTTTAATTTGAAATCTTATAGAGAACTCTTTTCTTTTTGGATCAGCCCTACTCGAACCCTCACATTTACCTTTTAAGAAATGAAATATCCCTACATTTCAGGTACAAGTTAGAGCTCAGAATTCTTAGTTCTTACCCTTACATGCTGGTCACTGGCCTCAGAGAAGAATATAATGGGGCTGAGTAGTGGTTCAGTACAATTCTCTACATCCTAGTAATTTCATTTTAGCATAGTTATTTCCAAGTATTGCACTTACTGTTGAACAGTTTGCCAAAGTGCTATTTACCATTTGTTTCTCCTGTGATGTTCATTACAAGATGAAAAGCAGGATGACAATATAACTAAAAATACTGAGTGACCTTAGTTCAGCTGTCACTCGTAGATGAAATATGTCTTTAGTTCCCCTCTGCTAACTACCTGTCATTTTAGACGTTAATTGGTACAGTAGAGTATGAAAATGTAACCTTTGCTGAGATTTAAAAGACATCATTTGTTTTATAAAACTGGTGACAACCCCACACAACATTATGATTGGTGTGGTGCATCAACTTTGATTCCAGCTGAAAGCTTGTGGGGTGTGCACTTTGTGAATCACAGGGAGGAGAGATGGGGATGGAAGCAGGAGGAAATGGGAACAAGAGCTTTGTGCCCTCTGAAGATGAAGAAGATGATGAAGGAAGGCCCTTGTGCTTATCAAAACTGTGTGAACTCGGTACTTTTTGCCAAAACAGGCCCAGAGCTGAAATACCCCAAGTCTCCTGACATCTGCGTGGCTGTAAATCCTAGAGGATTGTCCAGCATTTTGAGTCTGGAAGCACAGCTGGATGAAACAGCTTCTTTTTCTAGATTGCCTTTCTTTGGTAATGATCAGCATTTCTGTTTGAAGATTTATTTTGCAATCTGCATGTTATCATTCCTTGAAAATCTCCTACTCATTACGGTGAGGGAGATGTGCCCCTTTTACTTATGCTGGTTCACTAAAGAAGCCTTTAATTTATTCACCCTGATCAGAAAATTGTGTAGATTTGTATGAGCTTAGTCTCTCCTGGCTGCTGACTATCAGAGGAAGAAAACAAGCTCGAATCCAAGTCTCAGTTACCTGTAAACCAGAGAGAACCAGGTAAAACACAAATCAATTGCTTCATTTGAAAGCACACAGGTTTTGCCTGGCTTATGCATGGGGGACCCCTGTGCTTATTGTCAGAAGATAATCAGGAACAGCATGACAGCAGTGATGATGTGCCTCCTAAAGGAGAAATTGCAGGTTAGCCTAAGGAATGTACAGAGAGACAATCTGAAATTTGTTCAGGTCTCGTTACTGCACTAGAGGAAGGGAGCTTGCTAATTACCAGCCAAGTAAACCATGCCCTTAAGCTGTTGGAAGCTAGTAATGGGATGTTGTATTGCTTTACAAAATCATTCATGACTACAGCGTATGCCTGTGATGTTGGAAAGGGAGAGAAAAGCCAGTGAGGAAAAAATCAGGGAAAAAAAAAAACCCCAGCCTTCATTCATAGATGTGTGCTTGATTTCTCATGACTAATGTTAAGGATGTCACCTGTTCTGTATATAGACATCTTGATATGTTAAAGCATAAACTTCTGGTTCACAAATGTAACTGGTCAGAAGATTTCCAATCTTTGTAATTCTGAGTTATATAGAGAGAATTTTTTCCTCATGTATTTTTCGTTCGTTCCAAATGTACCAAGCACACATGGGCATTGTTAAAAAAATAAAGAAATTCCATGCATCTGTTAGATCCAGTTATGAATCTAGCCTGTTTTCCCCATAGAAATATTCATTAACACAGGTTTTCACATGCAAGGTCTATTTTTAAATAGTTTCTTCTGCCCATATCATGGGATGCCTTTTGTTGGAGAGGGATTTTACATCCAATTTTATATGATAACTGGTAGAAATTCTGCAGAGCTCTCCATCAAAACTAAGGAGAAAATATGAGTGCATATTTATGAATCAGTATTTTCAGCTACTAGAGAAATACCTTTTAAAACCTCTTGGGCACTGCACCAGTGGGTGGAAAATGTTTTTTGTTCTATTGATGGATCTCTCTCTCATCAACAGCTTCACAATGTTAACCTTGCGTTGGACTTGCTGGCAGATGGAGGTCTTCTGACTTTTTCTGTGAACTCTGAAGGTGAGTCATGACACAAAACTCATCTGGAATAGAATTGCTGATATCCTGGCTTAGCAAAATTTAGGGTAATTAGGTTCTGCAGTGTGACACTGGCACATTTCATTATATGGCTGCCTCGTAGCTCCTCAGTCAGAGTGAAGAATAAAAACGCTGAAAATTGTTTTGAACAATCTTTATGTCTATGCTGAAAATGTTGGGTTGTTATAAGTTTTTAGTAACTTTACACTAAACTTATATTGTTTAATAAGTAAGTGTTTGTTAAAGATTTAAAACAGTGGCAGCTCCTAGGGAAATTATAGCAGCTGAGCTGGAGGGAAAGCTGTTTTCCTATCTCATAAAAAGTTTTAGTGTATTAAAACCAAGCTTGTTTCCTGTGGGAAGACACCTTGCAGAATATATCCTGAAAATCAGAAACACTGACCACTATATTCAAACTGGTGGGTCAGTCTCTTGAATGCAAAATATGTGGGTTTCAAGTTGCTGTTCTGCCTAGTTTAGACCTGGGAGCTGAATGTTGGTCCTCTACGTCCAAGTGGATGCTTTCATCTCTGAGTTAATGTAAATTAATGTAGATTAAAAAAATGCTCCACAGAAAAATTGACTAGATCCTGGTGGAGAGAGAGGTGTGGCTGTGAATGCTTAGCCTGAACCCTTGCAAAGTGCAGGGCCTGGAACCTCACCCTGTCAAAAGCTTGTTGTAGGATGAGGAAATTAAATCATTATTGAAAGTAGAAAGCATTATCTCTTCCCCATAAGCAAGCAGGAACTTTTGTTTAGTAAATGACATCATAGAAAGGTAAGGATACAATTTAGGATTGTTTTTTCTTTTTTGTTCTCTTTTCCTACTCATGCTTTGGTGATGTTGGCAATTTGCATGATGGGCATGCATGAACTATGGGCTTTTTGCCATATTGCCCAGAGCTAGGAGTTTAGAAAGCTATTTATGTTAACTTTTGAGAAGAGTAATTTGTGTGAGCTCAGGTCTCCGTGCTGAGATCCACCTTTTGTATGAAAGGAGTTAAACCCATGCTTCCATTCCTTCCTCTGGCTACCCTACACTGCCTCAAACACAGAGCTGATCAGTGTAAGAAATATTGCTGCCAATATCCACGGGTCCTTTAGTTTCACTGGAAAATCCTCAGCTAGTGATTGAATTTAATGTGATTTAGGGGTACTTATTACAGCTACACTATTTAGACTGCTCAAGGATCTCGTTTACTAGTGTTTCATTGTTAGTCTTTCTCCTGGTGATTTACACCACTGTAAGAAAACATTAAACCCTGTAAATCAGTTAGCCACTTCCATTGCAATTATTAAATATGAGAGCAGTTTGTTCAGCCAAGAACATGGAAGCTGAAAACTAGATGAGAAAAAGAAAACAGCCAACAGCAGCAAAACATGATGGAAACATTACCACCAAAAACTGAAGCGTCAGGTAATTCCCAACATGATTCCTACCATAGAAGAACCATAAAAAAATAAAGCTGTAGTAGTCCTATTAAATTATCTACTCTGTTCTCTGCTCACAAAGAATTATTTCTTACTATGCATTATTTATCCTGTCTTCCAACAAGGCAGTGCAGTGAATTTCTCTTTTTCCTTAAGTTCATTTAATAAATAATTTACTATGTCTGTGGTTCTCATGTTGCTTCTTGTTACAACCAGGTTGTCAAAGTTCATGTTATAATTGAGGAAAGGTGGAAGATTCTTTGGCAGCTGCAGTCTCTTTCTATTCCAGGGATTGCTAACACCTCCCATCTGGTTTTGTCGTTTCTTGTGTTCCCTCAGATATTGTGAATGGAGATATGAAGGCTACAATGAGGATTCTGTATTGCTTGTATTCCAAATACAAGACTAAAGAAACATGAAGAACAAGGCTGAGAGCTTGGGCTTCCCCCCACCCCTGCCCCCCCAGCATCTCATGGTCTGAATTTTGGGTTCTCAGCTGTTTGCCACCATTTACGTGCATGCACTTTGGACACCTGCTGTACTAACACTGTATATGCAAATATGTATTCATGCAAGGTTTCACATCTCTTGCCTGAATAACTGTAAGTATGGGTGTCCACAGCCAGTGTACTGTGTCATTCTATGGCTCTTGTCCTTTCTGAGCCCTTTTATTGCTTCAAAGAAGTGTAATGTGTGTTTATTTGGGGCTGTGGATTCTTTGCTTCTGGAGATGAACGTCCCCACTTCCCTGCCAACGTCCCCACTTCCCTGTTTCTGCTTCACTCTGGAAACTAGAGAGATGAAAGACCTACCATGGCATCTCCAGGAAGTTTGGAGGCATTCTTGAAGCTTAAGCTCAAAACCTTCTTGACACAGGTGGCTAGCTGTTGTCACACAAGAGGGTGTGGGTTTGGCACCAAACGAATAGGTATCTGGAATGAAATCTGAATTCATCAAGTATTTGATAGGGGTTTCACCATTTGCCTGCTCAAATATGGAAAAGGGACAAAGAATAACGTGCTGGCATGGGACTGTGCAGCAAGAGGGATCTCCTGCTCAGCAGTGGAAATTTGCCCTTATTTTCTTGCTAAGGAGATGCCAAACTGCAGCCAGCTCCAGCCTGTTGCAGCCCTAATGTAAAGTGTGTCTAGCAGTATGCTGATTCCTGTGTCCAGCCTGTAGGAGTGACTAACACAACCATGCCTTCTGCCTGGCAAGAGGTGGGTAGATGCTGGCTGCCCATCCACGTAGAACCCATCATGGATGAGAGTAGTGAAACTCTCAGCTTCTGCCACTTCTGACAGCATACTCGTGCTGTGGGGACTCTCAAACTCCTCTGGGACTCCCGTGGCTGTTTTTGTCCCCTGACTGTCCCCAGACACCCCAGCAGCCCCCTCTGGATGCAGAGGTGCTGGCCACAATTTATGTTGACTGTCATCCTTAGAGTTTCTCAGGGGCTTTAAGTCAGAACTCCATCAAAACCTCCATCTACTCCCTTGACCTTAAAATTGTCATGTTTGCTATGCATAAAGCTTGAGAGTTAGTAATAAAAATATATAGAGAGATATTATTTTGGCTTCCATCTAAACTGATTTTCAAGTTCTGTTGTTGGTGATTCTGACACTTGATCTCTGATGGGATCCTCCCTCTGTGTGTTAGTGGGAAACCAATGCAAGGGCTGACATTTACAGATGAGAATTTGTTGTGTCTACCTCTGGATCACAGAGCCTGAGATCCTTAGATAGCAGTGCTGATACATCTTTGAGTCCTGCCTTTGAAGATGGTAATAGTGCAAAGCTGCTGGAGGAAAGAGTTCTACAAACTGCCCTGAGCTTAAATCTTTTGGGATTAATAATTATCTTGTTATGCTTTCACAGAGAAAAATCCAATGATGTGTGGTGTTTATGCTTTCACAGAGAAAAATCCAATGTGTGGTGCCAATGAGCTACAAGATCAGCTTGCTTCCCTAGCAAATGTTAGCTGTGTGTGCTGTTCTGAACAATTTAAGTACAGAATACTTGGTTTTTTTTTTCACGTGCAAGTCTCTGTAAGTATCTTGCTTTATTCCTAATGAGCTTTACACAACTGGGAGACCTGAGAGGTTTGTTCTTGATTGTTGCTGTAATGTGACAAGTGGATTGTGGAATAAATCACTACTGAGCAGATAAACCCAGGATGTGGCTCGTGGAGAGCAGGGGCAGGAGGGTGTTTGGTGGTGATGGGGTGGCTGTGTGGCCATTTCCACCAAGGAGGCCAATCTGAATCTCTTCCTTGGTGTTGGTGACCAGAAGTAATTTCCAGTGTGTGACTTTAGGTATAACTTAGAGGCTATGAAACAGTCAGCAGTGGGGGGATTAGCTGGTGCTGCCCTGGTCAGATGGTTGGTGATGCTCAAGGAAAGAGCTGGGTTTATTTTCTGCATGTTCTAAGTTTTGTGGCCCACTCCTCCATGGCATAAGTAAACCCAATGCTTGTGCTTCTGCAAACTTGGCAGGGGAAGCCTAGTTCTTGGTGTTTAATAAATGAAAGGATCATGCTCCCTTCCCAACACCAGCTTGCCTGAACCTGTTACAACCAATTTATTCTTTTGAAAACATACAGGGCAAAAAATGACAGCTAAGGTGCTTGAATCAAAAACACAGCAAGACCAAAAATGAATGTTTTAATCTGCTTTTTATGCTGTGAGCCACTTTAGAACATGCTTTATGTCTCGGAATGTTTGATAAAGAGCCTGTGTTTGATACCTAAAACATGCTACAGAAAATTTACAAATCCATCATACAGGCACCCATTCCATCAGTTGGTGCAGAATGTACAAGTGCACATGTACACTTGAGATCTGGTCACAGGCTTGGCATAGTTTTAATAGTAAAAATAAAGTGACAAAGCTGAAAGGAATATTCTGACAATATGAAATTGGGGAAAAAAGAAATCTATATTATTGTTCTGAGATGTTACTTTTGCCTTACATCAAGATAACCTAGTTCTCTTTTCTCTTATAAATATTAGCTAATGAAAAACAAACTGTTTACTGTTTAGACTGGCAAATTAAGTATGATATTTTGAATAAACTAAGCTCTCTCTGTGCAAGCCTGTTCATTGACATATAACTAAGTTTACAATTTTAATGTTTAAATCCTAAACAGGTTTTTGTGATGAAAAAGCATGGTGGGCTATTCTGATGTTGGAGTTTTTTATCATGCTGTATAACTGTAATTAATGACTGGTCGGTATTCCAGTGTAGTCATTGACTTGACTGTCATCCTCTGTTTCCAAGGAAGAACATGCAATCTGTTTATTTTTTTAAGTAACCATCAAATGGACCAAGAACTTCTAAGCTAGAGCAGAGCTCCTGTTACCCTTGTCTCAAAGATAAGTAGCACAGTGTCTTTGTGGCAAGGCAAGGCTGGGATGTAGAACATATCTGAAGTGTTTTATCTCCTTCTTGCTGTCGTCTTTCTGTTGTCTGTCTTTCCAAAATATGTGGCCTTATGTCTGTAAAGATGACTGGAAGGGGCAGAGTTACCACAGTGACTTTAAGGGAAACAGCAGATGCATAAAACTTTTTGCTAATGGCATCAAGAGACTGAGCCAGATACTGGCTATAAAGCCTGGGAAGGCAAACTGGGAATCTGTCCCTGCTGTCAAAATCCCTCCTCATCCTCAGGAGCTAACTCCTCTAGGTTTACATTGCCATTTTTTTCATGCCCTTGTGTGGCTCCTCTAGCTTGGTGGTGTGCCTTGCTGGGAACCAGGCAGTGAAACTCCAGATGGACAGTGCTGGCAGCCCCCAAATGCACTTGATGGGTGGGAGGAGCACCTACACTCTGAGGTGGAACCTATTCTTAGTGCTTACCCTTTTCTTTCTTCTTTTTTTCCCTTCCTTTCTCCTTTGTGTTGCTTCTTGCAGGGAGACATCCTCACAGTTGTTTCCAAAAGTCTCGTTGGCAATTAGGCTTTCAAAATATGAAAACATCTAATTAAAATTCTTCTTCTCCATGAGCTCAAAGGGCGTGTTTGTGTCTTTGTGAAGGGATCTTGCTGTGCCTTCTCTTACAGGCTGCTAAAATTTCCCTGAAGAATAAAAGCCATTTTCAGTTTTTACACAGTGACTATTTTTTTTTGCCTTGTCAATTGATATTGTAATAAAAGATAACTGAAAATGTTACTTTGGAGCAAATAAAATAGTGTATACGAGCCCTTCTGCTTGCTGTGGGGATGAATGGGTTTCCTGATTTTCTAGGATGGTGAAAAGGTGAGCAGGACACAAAGACTAGTATATGGAGAAGTGAGTTTTGAGACTAGAAGTAATGAAATTAAGAAGGCAGTGTTGTAGACTGGAATGCCTCTCTTCCCCCCCACCAACCTCTGTCCTCTCCTTCAGCCAGTTGTACTTTCTGGAATGTTAAAATTTAAAAACCCACAACAAACCACCTCTGTTTCTTTGGCATTTTGAACAAAGTGCACCAGGGTACCTTTGCCATTCACTTTTTCCCTTAGAAACTCCAGATTTTGAAGCCTTTTCCTCCATGTCATTGCATGACAACTAGAGTCCCCTAAGACATTCTTCTCCATCCACTGGCTAAGATTAATCTTCAAGGATTTTATCCATTGATGCCCTTTCTCAGGCTGTGCTTAACAAACTCCACACACCTCAGCAAGAAGCCAATAAAATAATATGAAATAACAGATAAATGTTACAGGAGAAAGGAGGAGCTTGGTCAAAAACTGATCAATTTTATCTGCAGAACAGTGGCTGGCTGCTTGGATGTGAGCTATCTAAATTTAGGTCCTAAAATCTTGCTGTCATGAAATGCTGGGGAATTGCAGTTCAGGTGCTTCATGCTGCTGACCTTCACCTGTACTCCAGGTGCCCATGAGGCTTTCTCTCCAGCAGAGACCTGCAGGCTGCACTGGGCTCTTCCTCATGCTGTAGAGAGCTTGTGCTCCACAGCAGTTGGGTGGTTAGGTTCTTTTGGGAAATGGAGCCTAACTGCAGAGTTGTGCCCCTGATGCTAAATGGAATGTTGAAATGTATAGACTCAAATGCCTGTAGGGTAATGCAAATATATATTTTTTTTTCCATCTTTATCATCTTTTCCCCAGTTAACTCCCCCTCCTCCAATTTCTTCCATCTAAAGCCTAATTTTCCCCGTGTGGAAGCATTTTACTTTAAGGAAAAATGTCAACCATCACATTCAGTCATCACCTCCATTCCAAGGCCATCTGTGCCTCAGGATCCTAAACTGCAGGCTGTATTCTCAGTGAAATGGCTACAGGGGTGATGGGTCCCTGGGCTTGGATGTCTGTCAGGACTACCTGTCAGAAACTCCAGTTGCCAGACCCAGGCCAGAGAACTTAAAAGTCTTTAAAGACTTTTTCAAAGTCTTCTTTCTTTTCAAAGCACTTTAAAGTCTGTAAGCAAAGTGTTGGTCAGA